TGGATTGATCACTCATTTCTTATAGTCGTTTGGGCATGGTTAAGGAATCATAATGAGATATAGAGCATATAGGTAGCCATGCGAGGTTTGAGCTTGTTCGTTTCTTTCTTGTGCGATAGATCCAACTTACCATGATGTGTAGCATTCACGTTGCCACTAATTAGGAAGATGGAGGTATAGGATTAGCCTACGACCAAATTGATTGTCCTGGGGTGTCATACCCCTTAGCCATCCCCTTTGAGCTGTGTAAGTTTCTTTCTTTGTGTTTAAAATAAAAAATTACCCTTGTGCATCTCTTAGAGGTTCCAGAGAGTGTCTGTAGCATGTTTTCTGCTGGTAATAACGTGAGTGTTGGAGGCAGTTCTTAAAAGTTGGGCATGTGCTTGAAAAGATAAAGAATGGGGACATCCTATCCATGAAGAAGAGTAACCACTCTAACTTATGGAAGGCCATCGTTAGAGGAATGAACATTATGTTACATGCTACTTGCTGGAGCATTAGAAATGGCTAGTCAACAAAATTCTGAACTCAAACTTGGGTTGACAGTGGTATCACCCTGGAGGATTTTGCTCTAGTGACATCACTGAGGAGCATTGAAATTCTATGGTTGTTGAGTGGATCACAGAGGAAGGTGAGTGGGACTGAGGAAAACTATAGTTGATGCTTTATGGTGACATTCTCTCGGCTTATTGGCTGGGATCCACCTAGGGAAGGATGGATCCAACTGTAGTCTGACATATTTGTCCTCACCCCTACCAGAGAGGCTGCATTAGGAGGTCTTTTCATAGATCATTTGCGAAGATGTAAAAGTGCCTATGTCTGCAATCCCGGCCCTTGCTCAACCACTGCGACTGAGTTGAAATGAGCTCTGGAATGCCTCAAGATTGCCTGGAAAGAAGGCTTCTGGAGGATCCAGATCAAGCATGACTCTGTGACGGCCATCGAGATCTTCAAACATCGCCACAAGGACGACCATTGTCATGGTAGTTGACAAAACAGTTCAATTTTTATTTGAATCTTGTTTTGGTAGTAAGTGACTCCCATGTTTTTAGGGAAGCTAATTTTGCGGCCTTAGTAACTTGGAAAGCAAGGCTCATGACTTTGATTTTGGCACACATCCCTTCAATGTGTGCGATAGAAATCTTGGACAATGCCTTTGCCATGATGTTCTGGGAATCACCCATTATTGTTATTAAGTAATGTGATCTAGACGCAATGTGTCTATCTTTCAACCCAAAAAAAAAAACTCATGGGCGAGCAATTCTGGAGGCTAAGTTATTGGGCAGCTGACAAACCATCCTCATTAGAAATTAGTTTCGGATGTAAGGTGTTGGTGGATATTATTTATGTGACTCCTTCAATGTGGCCATGGAGATTTTATTCAACCTTGGCATCTATTAATGAATCTCGCAACACATGGGAAGGATCCACATCTTGTTCATCAATTATTGGTTGGCGAGGAATTGTATCTTAAACTCTCTTAATCCATATTGGATTAATGTGTTGAATGTTATATCTGATATGTTGTAAACTCTGCACTTTCATTTGAGGAATAATGTAGTGATATTTCTATTATAAAAAAATCCACCCAGAAAAAGGGGGGTTTTCCCTAAACACACACGTTCTTAAAAAAATTCTCAAAACACATATGTTACAAAAAAAATCCCAGTCTACACATATTTGAAGAAGACTGTTGTTATCAAACGCAGTGAAGATGTTCACCACCTTTGTCAAAACAGTGAAGCTTAAACAATGTTTTTTAAACGCGGTGAAAAAAACATCGCAGGTGAGAGACGTAGTGAATATTTCACCGCATTTGTCTGAGACTGTGAATACATCACCAATGTTAAGGAAGGCAGTAAACTAATCACTGCGGCTGTCAATAGCGGTGAACGTTTGTCACGTTTTCCAGCCCTAGTAGGTAACAACAACCTAACATTCACCGTGTTTGTCTAAAACGGTTTATTGTTCACCACTTTAAACAAACGCATTGAATGCAGGTTGTATGTCAAATAAATAAAATCCCCCCTCCCATGTAGCTGCTGAAACCAAACCCATACTCCATTTCTTCCAAACCAGTTCCCCATTTCTGCCAAAACCTTTTCCAATATCTTTCAAAAACTCTAATTTAAGGTATGTTCTAATTTGATATTGTTTAGATTGTTGACGTTTGAGTAGTTATATGTTTGTATTTAACGAATTACTGTTACTGGCAAGTATGTTATATTAGAGATATTTTGATTAATTATGGTTGATGTTAGTTAGTTATGGTTTTAGATGAATTTGTTTAGTATACTCATGTTATAGTAATGCTAAGTATACTACATGTTTTGATTAGTTAGTTGCGGTTGTTTATGGTTATGGATTATGGTTGTGTAGCCCTAAATACAAATTATACTAAATGTTTCGATTAAATTGCAGACATGTGTAAATTCAAAAATTTCCAACTTCTTATTCGGTGGAATGGTCGAGTGACAAACTCTGACATTTGGATCGATTATGAAGATGGTGAATCCAGTATGTTGAAAATAGAGTCTAGATTCACGTGGCAAGAACTCCATGACATTGGTGCATGTGCATATATGATGAAAATAGAGTCTAGATTCACGTTTCAATATAATACGCCCTGGAGCCGAGCTGCAGCGGCGACGGACTAGGGCAACTCTACACAATACACATCCCCGAGAGTTACTATTCGTCGCCCTAAATATTTGAATTTATCGCCCTAAAATATATAAAATTACTTATATATCCTTGGTTTAATTTTCAATATAATACGCCCTGGAGCCGAGCTGCAGTGGCGACGGACTAGGGCGACTCTACACAATACACATCCCTCCCCAACCCACTCTATCTCTCACTAGAGCTCTCTGACTCTCTCTCATCCTAACAACTCAGGCATAGACGTAAGCTTTGTTAATGGCTAATTATTGATATTCCCAACCCAAATTCTACTACTACTCGTCATTGTTACTCCTCTTTCTATCCTCCCTACCGTTCAGAGTCAACTCCCAACCTGCTCAGCACAACTTTTCCTTAGGCTCATCGCTCACCGTCGGCGCCGCATCAAAGGACAAAAGAAAAACCATTTGCGTTTGGGTTCCAACTTTTCCTTAGGCTGAGGTGGCGGCAGCGACTGGCGGATGCAGCAGAGCGAGGACCTAGGGCGACTTTTCTTCTTTGTACTTAAGCGGCGCAGCGGCTGAGGTGGCGGCGGCCACGGGCGGAGGTAGTAGAGCGAGGACTGCTAGGGCCAAAAATCGGCCAGGAATTTTTAGGTTGGGGCAAAATTGTCTGTTTGGTTAGTTTAGGGCGAAAATTTTGAAAAGTTAGGACGTTAAATAGAAATTCAGTTTGTATGGGGAGGATAGACGAGAGTTGGTAAATTTACTTACCGGTATCCAAACATGAGTGTTGGCAGGGTTATGTACAAAGAAGTTGTCATAAATGATGATGACGCGGTTACCATAATGTTACAGTTCCTAGCTGACCACGAGATGCGGCTTGTAGAGGTGTATGTTGAGACCGACGAGGTCGGGGAATCCCATTCTCACCAGTATGCTTATGATGATGGTTTTGCAGGAGGGTATGAATGGAGTGATTTAACAACGACGATAATTTCTTCAACAACGGTGATTTCTTCATTGCGTTTGACAAAGGCAGTGAACATCTTGGAATGGGTTAAGTTGCTAACCTCATATAGGGTTGGCACCGTACTAACTAAATTAATAGCCATTAGATTAAAAAATTAATCCTAGGGTCAGAATTAAATAGAGGATAGAATAGTCAATATTCCGTCAAACCCTAATATATATAGTAATTTAACTGCCTTTCTCTCCCACGAACCCCAATCTCACCCACAAAACTTCCCTCCCTCTCTGCGTCAAATCTCCTCCCCTCTCTGCCTCACCAGCGATTACTAGTGCTAAAACCAGTGATGCGCCGCCTGACCAATATCATTGGCCTCGCCACAATCTTCGTCTCTCCCCGCGGTCACGGTCTAGCGTCGCTTCCATCGCCCACGCTGCCAGCACTCTCCCTCGCCCTCGCCCGTACTCCGGCTTAATTTCATCCTTCCTCGCTGAACTCCGCCTCAACGCCATCCGAATCTTTTCCAGCAACGCCATTCTCCCTCTCTGCATCCCCTCTTTGCCCCAGTTAATGGTGTTGGTAGTTTTACATGGGGAAGGTACCTGCCCCTGGACGTCAAGGAGAGAAAGGAACTAGAAAGAATGTGACGGTTTTAATAGTAGTGGTTTTGTTAAGTTATAGTAGTATTTTTTTCCTTGGTTTTTTTGGTTAAGTTATAGTGGTTTTGATGAGTAGTATTAAATAGTCGTGGTTTTATCAAGGTGTAGTAGCGATTATTTATCTTTTAGTAGTGGTTTTTTAGCCATATTAGTAGTGATTTATTGATTTTACCATTTTTGTAGTAGTGATTCTTATAAAATTGTCAATGGCTGAAAATTAAAAACATGTAAAAACACTACTAGTTACATGAAAATCACTATGGACCCAAAAAAACACTATTATCAAGTATCAACCTCTAAAACCATTTGTCGCTATTAAACAAAAATCTTAAAATCACTACTAGAAAATGACTAATAAACTGAAGAGAGAGAAAATGTATTTTCGATTTTAATTAATTTATTATTTTTAATTTTGTGAAATACCATACAAATCCTTCATTACTAACCACCGTCCGATTTACTTTAAAAAATGAACGATAATTAGACCAGTTAGCATGGTGCTAACTCTTATAGAGTTAGCATTCTAACCTCTCCCGAACATCTTGACCTTGTTTGAAAATAGCAATCTTCTTCAAACATATATAGATTGGGAAACTTTTTGAACATATGTATTTTGAAAATTTTGTGTAAGAACTTGTGTATATAGGAAAAAAAATTAAAAGAAGGACCATCGAAAAAAATAAGAATCTCCGGAAGGACAAAGCAGAGAAGGAGCTAGTCTGGAGAAATAAGATACCGTTTTATGGCTGTTCAAAAATGGCGGTAGATGTTCTTTCTTCCAATATAATAAACAAATCTCCTAATTACCAAAAAGAGAAGGAAAAAAAAACTCCCAGCAGCAGCCACTGCGACTTCCCTAAGGATTGTACCTTCAATTTATCTAATCCTGAAGTCCTTGTAACTCTGTGGACTTCCGCTTGCTTCCTATTTTGCTGTGGAAGACATCACTAACCCCCGCCATCACCGTGGCTGCCTCTAGTTTGCTCTGGAATAACCCAAACTTCAACCCTTGTTCCAATTCCTTCAGCAAAAACAATTTCTACTCCACCCCATCTGGGTCTGTTTGTTTCACTCAAAAGTTCCAATTTCACAGGAGCCCAGTTGTGAAAGCCAGCAAGAAGCAAATAGAGGTATCGCTTTTTTGTGTCTTCTCATTTGATTGAAAAGAAATGAACTTCGGTTTTGATTTGATTTGTTGCTTTCTTGAATTAGGTGGTGTATGATCCTGATGAGAGGTTGAACAAGTTATGTGGGAAACCCGACCACGCGTTGAGTAAGTGGGCCGAACTCGGCCAAGAGAGGAGTGGCAGCCTTGTAATTTGCATTATTTTGGTTTACTGCTACTTAAGGATTCCACTCATTATTTTTGGGAAGTAAGCAATAATAATCAGAAATCCCAATCCCTAATCTCTTCTCCCTCTCTCGTTCTTCCCCAATTCCCCAAATCCCTAAATTCTTCTCTTCTCAATCCCTAAATCCCCAATTGGGATTTCTTGTTTCTAACATATGGTATCAGAGCCTCGTTCGTCGATGAGTTCTCCGCAACTCTAGGACCTGTCGTGGGCAGAACTAAGGGACCAGGCCCGCCGCATTGGCTGCCGTTGGCTACCGAGGAGCCGGCTGCCGCTGGCGCAGAGGCGGAGGCTATCACTGCCGATTGTCGCGCTAATCCCCACGCCGGCCGAGGCCATGACGTGCGCTGGCGAACGATGGAGCGAGCAGCAGCCCGCGTCAGGCGGCGCGACTGAAGCACCCGCGTCCAGCGACCCGACGTCGTTTCTCTCGCTGCACTCAGTGGCGGGGTGGGCTTCTCTGGGCACGCTTCGCTTCAGGGCAAGGGTCGAGGAGCGCGCAACCATCACCTTGGTGGACTTTGGGGCTTTGTTGAATTTCGTGGGAGAGGAGTTCGCCAAACATCTGCAGCAAAACCCAGTTGCAGCCGCACCCTTGGTGGTGAAGATGGCGAATGGCGCTCCCATGCGAAGCGAGTGGGTCTACCGGGGCATCTCCTTGGATATTCAAGGCCTGGAAATCATCATTGATTTGTATGTGCTGCCTCTTAGGGGATTCGACATTATTCTCGGAGTTACCTGGCTGCAGAGTCTGGGCCCTGTCACTAGCGATTGGCAGCGCTTGACCATGCGCTTAAAATGGAGGGATAAGGAGTGGACCCTGCGCGGCCTCATTGCTACCGTCGGATCCATTTAGATCAAGGACTGCGGCCCGGACGGCGACGCCGAGCTAGCGATCCTCTGCTGGCCGATCGAGGCAGGGGCGTCGACGAACCTCCAGCCGGAACTACAGGAGTTGATAGGGCTCTACTCCGACTTGTTTGAGACCCCCACTGCCTTGCCTCCACACTGGCAGGTTGATCATCAGATTCAGCTCAAGGAAGGAGTGGAGGCGGTGAACGTGAGGCCGTACCGTTATGGGCATTCGCAGAAGGAGGAAATCGAGAGGCAGGTAACTGAGATGCTGACCACGGGTTTGATCCGGCCGAGCACCAGCCCGTTCTCATCGCCTGTACTACTAGTGAGAAAGAAGGATGGTACATGGCGTTTTTGCACAGATTATAGGGCGCTCAATGAGGGCACAGTGAAGGATCGATTTCCCATTTCGACGGTGGACGATATGCTCGACGAACTTCATGGGTCACGCTATTTTTCTAACCTGGATCTGAGGGCAGGGTATCACCAGATCCGTATGCAGGAGGAGGACGTCCATAAGACAGCTTTTCGCACGCATAACGGGCACTACGAGTACTTGGTGATGCCATTTGGATTGTGTAATGCGCCTTCCACCTTCCAGACAGCCATGAACGACATTTTTCGGCATCTCCTATGGCGGTATGTTCTGGTTTTCTTTGATGATATTTTGATTTACAACCCGTCATGGGCAGATCACTTGCACCACCTGCAGACTGTGTTTGGAATTCTGCGAGAACATTAGTACTACATCAAAGCCGCCAAGTGTGAGTTCGGAGTACAGGAGGTTGAGTACCTGGGTCACATGGTGACTCCCCAGGGTGTGAAGGTTAACCAGTCCAAGATTCATGCAATGGTGGACTGGCCGGTTCCCGCGACTGTCACGTAGTTGCAGGGGTTCTTGGGGCTAACTGGTTATTATCGTAAGTTTGCGCAGGGTTACAGCATGATCGCCCGACCACTAGCTGACATGTTGAAGAAAGGAGGGTTTGTCTGGTCGCCAGCGGCGGAGGTCGCGTTCCAACGGTTGAAACAGGCTATGACGACCACACTGAATTTAGCAATGCCGGACTTTTCCAAGACATTCGTGATTGAAGCAGATGCATCGGCTAGGGGAATCGGAGCGGTGTTATCCCAGGACAGCCACCCCATTGCCTTTATGAGTAAGACGTTGGCGCAATCCAAAGAGGCATGGTCGACATACAAAAAGGATATGCAGGCGATTATTACGGCAGTACAGACATGACGACCATATCTCTTGGGGCAGAAATTTCACATCTATACCGATCACCAGAGCTTGAAGCATCTCCTAGAGCAGAGGGTGTCTACGCCAGATCAGCATAAGTGGGTGTCGAAGCTGTTGGGCTACGACTATGATATCCATTACCGACCAGGACCCACCAATGTGGTGGCGGACGGGTTATCGAGGGGGCTGGGCAGCGAGGTTCTCGCCGCAGTGACAGGACCAGTTCCTCAGTTTTGGGATGAGTTGTGGATTTCCATGGAGACCATCCAGTATTTACAGGACTATCGGGGGATCGCAGTAAGTGACAACCCGATGCATTATCTATTTCGACAAGGGTTGGTAACCTTCAAGGGTCGAGTGGTTCTCCCGCCCGGTTCGAATTTGATCACCATAGTACTGCAGGAGTTCCATGATTCTCCGTTGGGAGGGCATTCAGGTGCCGAGAGGACGCTCCGCCGGATTAGAGGCCACTTTTACTGGCCCCGAATGGCGCAGGCTGTGAAAGCCTACGTGGAGTCGTGCGATACGTGGCAGAGAGTGAAGCTGTCTCATCTGCGACCGGCCGGACTTCTCCAGCCGATGTCGGTGCCGGAGCGGGTATGTGAGGATATTAGCTTGGATTTCATTGTGGGGTTACCTCCCTCTGGTGGAAAGACGGTGATGTTCATGGTGGTGGATCGGCTCACCAAGTATGCCCATTTTATGCCATTAGCGCATCCGTATACGGCGAAGTCTGTGGCCGAGCAGTTCGTATGGGAGTGGTGAGACATCATGGGTTTCCCAGGTCTATCGTCAGTGATCGTGACCCGGTTTTCTTAAGCAAGTTATGGCAGGAGGTCTTTGCGCTGGTGCGGACTATTTTGCGCATGAGCTCGGCCTATCATCCTCAGACTGATAGATAGACAGAGATCGTAAATAAGCATCTAGAGCAGTATTTGAGGTGCTTCGCGCACCAGCAGCCAAAGCAGTGGCTGGCCATGCTTCCTTGGGCGGAACTGTGGTATAACACCACTTATCAGCGGGCCATCAAAATGACCCTGTTAGAGGCTTTATACGGGAGGTCGTCCCCGACGTTGGTGCACTACAAGAGCGGGTCGAGTTCTATCGACGCGGTGGATAGGTGGTTGGGCGTGCGAGACGAGGCTTTGGAGAAGTTAAGAACAAATTTGGCCGCAGCAAACAACCGGATGAAGCAGGCTGAAGACGCAGGGCGAAGGGATGAGGAGTTTGAGGTGGGTGACTGGGTACTGTTAAGGCTGCATCCCTACCGACAGGCCTCTGTTTTTCGGCGGGCGTACCAGAAGCTCGCGGCTCGGTTCTTTGGACCGTACGAGATCATCCACAAGGTCAACCCTGTGGCTTATCGTCTGCAGCTGCCGCCGGGTGCCCGCATACACCCGGTATTCCACATTTCCTTGCTGAAAAAGTACCGGGGCCCCGCGGACAGGGTGACGACGACGACCCCTCCGGTCACGGCGGATGGTGACTTGGAGCTAGTACCTCTCAAGGTGTTGGAGACCCGATGGACGAAGAAGGGTGGACGATTAGTGGAAGAGAGCTTGGTGCGGTGGAAGCACGTGGAACCTGAAGATGCCACGTGGTAAGAGTCCGAGACACTTCGACAGAGATTCCCGGACTTCGACCTCGAGGCCAATGTCGATTCTAAAGGAGGAGGGGATGTGGGAAACCCGACCACGGGTTGAGTAAGTGGGCCGAACTCGGCCAAGAGAGGAGTGGCAGCCTTGTAATTTGCATTATTTCGGTTTACTGCTGCTTAAGGATTCAACTCATTATTTTTGGGAATTAAGCAATAATAATCAGAAATCTCAATCGCTAATCTCTTTCTCTCTCTCTCTTGTTCTTTCCCAATTTCCCAAATTCCTAAATTCTTCTCTCTCGATCCCTAAATCCCCAATTGGGATTTCTTGTTTCTAACAAGTTAGCAGATGAGGTATATAAGGAAGCTCCTCTTTCCAGGCTCACTCTGTTCTCTCCTTGCAAGGTCTTTCCGCTTCTATTTTTGATTTGACTCTCACTGTTGCCTTCTTTGCTCTAATGAGACTTTCGTATGGGTTGATTTCCCGTCTGGGTTTCTTGCAGATTAATGTTTTCTTGAGAATTACGAGCAAAAGGGCAGATGGCTATCATGATTTGGCATCTCTTTTCCATGTAAGTAGTCTCTTCTTCAAGCTCAAGTCGCTTGATACATTTGGAGATTTGAGGTTAGTTCTTGGTTTTAGTTCCACATTCAGTCCAGTACTAACAGTTTGTCCTGCTTTATTCTTCCTCCAGGTGATTAGTTTAGGAATTAGGAGATAATTAAGTTCTCGTTTTCCCCATCTGATAAGACTGATCGTTTGACCACCAATGTGTCTGGGGTACCCCTCGATGACAGGAATTTGGTAAGGATGGGAAAGTATGGGTAATTAGCATAAATGGTCACAAACCTTTGTACTTAGTACAAAACAGTCACAAACCTTTAATTTGTAACCATTTGATAACAAAACTGTTTTACTTATAACAAAACGGTCACAAACTAAACAGTGTGACCATTTCATACCAGTTCAAACTTTTGTTACCGTGTCGTTGCAAATTAGACTTTTGGTGACCATTTTGTACAAATTAAGTTCAAAAGTTTGAACGCTCAATCACCGTTACAATTCACTCTAGTTGTATGGTGGTTTTGTTAATGTATGTGAATGATATTATGTTGTTTAGGATGACAATGAGAGAATTCAATGGCTCACAAACGGGTTCCAGACTGCTTTTTAGTTGAAAAAACTATGTCTACTTTCTTACTTTCTTGGTATCGAAATTGAAAGGTCAACTGAGGGCATTCTTATTCGGCAAAGCAAATATGTCGATGAACAAATGACCTGACATCTTATATGTCGTTCAAGTGGTTGGTGTCATATACTTAACGAACAAACTACCCGACCTCAAAACATGACAAACATTTAAATTGTAACGATTCAGTAACAAACGTTTGCACTTAAAACAAAACGGTCATAAATTAAATAGCGGTGACCATTTTATACAATTTCAAAGTTTTATTACCGTATTGTTACAAATTAAAGGTTTGTGACAATTTTGTACTAAGTGCAAAGGTTTGTTACTATTTATACTCATTACCCGGGAAAGTATTCTTAGTGTCACCTCCCTTACTCTATATCACTATATCAGTCTAGTGACTGAATGTTGCAAATTTTGTATGCAGATTATAAAAGCCCTTAATCTCTTTAGGAAAAAGACAGGCACTAACAAATACTTTTGGGTAAGGACTTGCAGTGTTAATATTAATACTTGTAGTGGAATGGGTAACACTTTTAAGATTTTGCTTAAGGTCAGTAATTTCTCCACAGATACACCTAGATAAAAAGGTTCCAACTGGAGCAGGACTTGGTGGTGGAAGCAGCAATGCTGCAACTGCATTGTGGGCTGCCAATCAATTCAGTGGCGGTCTTGCTACGGAGGAAGAGCTCCAGGAATGGTCTGGAGAGATTGGTTCGGACATTCCTTTCTTCTTCTCTCATGGAGCAGCCTATTGTACTGGTCGTGGTGAGGTATGAATCCGCGTTCTTTGAGATGCAGGCTTGAAGATATTCCCACTTCACTTCATGTTCTGATGATACTTGATTGGTAAAGACTAAAGAGTGTATCTTGATACCAAAGTTCGGACAGTAGGCCTTGCTTTTTGCCTGATAAAACAAGTTGGTTGTTAAAAAAAAAGACAGGGATAATTAAGTTATCTCCTCAGCTATTACAGTTTCCAAGTGAATGAATATTAGTAAGCTCATTCGACACAAAATGCTCCTTGAGCGCATTAGCTGCGAGTTCGAACTGATTTAGTTGTTGTTGTATGACATTTTTTTCCTTGGCTTGTTCAGGCTGTTGAAGATATGGCTTCACCTATTGCTTTAGACATTCCTATGGTTCTTGTTAAGCCCCCCCACAAGCCTGCCCAACTGGTGAAGTCTATAAGGTAATGTGGTTTAATTTGCAACAGTCTTGAAACCTTCTTGCAAACTAGTTTAGTCTCAGAAAGTGTCTTGACAGTTAACTTGTGTGATATAGTAGCATCTCCGAGTGGACCAAGCTAGTCAAGTTGATCCATTGACTTTGCTAGAGATGATATCAAGGAATGGCATATCACAAGATGTTTGCATAAAGGATCTGGGTATGAACTCAAATAACATTATCATGGTTTAATTCGTAAAAGTGATTCCGTCTTCTATCTCTTGAATAGATTTTTGTTTCATTTCCCCCCATCCAATATGAAAGCCACTATCTATCCTTGGCTGCAGAACTTCCAGCGTTTGAAGTTCTTCCATCACTTAAAAGGTTGAAGCAGCGTATGGCAGCAGCTGGCCGTGGACAATATGATGCTGTTTTCATGTCTGGAAGGCACCTTTTTACTATCTACAATGCCACGTGATTTGAATTTTATGGTTTATCTAGTCCAAGAACCTGCATAGTATCAGTGGTTCGGTTTCTGTAAAGTTGATAACCACACACCATATGAAATGATTCTGTGCACTTTGCCAATGTGTGTGAGTTTTCCAGTGGTAGCACCATTGTCGGCATTGGTTCACCAGATCCTCCGCAATTTGTGTACGATGATGAAGAATATCAGGACGTTTTCTTGACAGGTAAAAGATGGTGACGGTGAATATTTGGAAAACCATGCTTCATGATATACTTGGTAACTTAGAGATGATGTTTGGTCTTGTTGTTTTCGTTCTAGAGGGTGTGCTATAATTTTTCCCGCACCTGAGGCCTGAGGGTGATGTTTAGAAATAACAGTGAAATGGTGGATTGGTGGTACAAGACTTAAACGGCAACTGTTCGGATCTAAAAGTAAGCATCTTGGAGAGCTTTGGGATCTTGTTGCGCAGATGGGAAAAGTGATGAAATAGTTTCTTTTTTAGTAGAAGCTGCTTAGCGTTGTAATTGAAGTGCAATAACCATGAGAGTATTCTCTTCTGCATTCAAAGACTACACAGACCCACCTGGATGGAATCCATATCAGCAGATCCGGGTTATGGCTGAACGAAAACCGAGGATGGCGACCCTCCTCGATGGAGAGGACAACATTGAAACCATTGGGGAAACACTCCCCTGATGGTGAATCAGTACCAACCTATACCATTGAGATGACGATTACTGTATTAATTTACCAAGGTGTTTAAGCTCAATTTAAGAGGTGAAACCATTTCTGCTCAATGAACCATGGAAATTTTGCATTGTCCCTCCCTACTAGTTTGGAAGATGGTGTGGGTTCACGAGGGTACTCGCTTTCGACTCGTAACCTTGCCGATTCAAAGTTCATCAATCACAGTCACACTACAGGCTTCCTCTCTAACCTCTCAGGAACTGTAAATCCAAAGGGAACGGCAGCATTCAAGAAAATATAACTCGTTGAGATGCCACTTATCTTCACTAAGGATATTCAACAAATCGACAGAAAAGCAGACAACCCAACAGCAACCATAAAATTCAAACACATTTTTCTTGTCCTTCTTTCCTCTTTTTTTCCTTTTTCATTTTTATTCAAGGCCTCCCCCAACCCACCCTACTACAGTGAAGGAGAAGAAACAAACTGTCTGGGTAAGCTAAACAGATCTTTCCCCTCAAATGGAGACGTCCACTCATGCGAACCGCCAGCCGATGTTTCTGGGTTAGCCACCCCGCCACCATCCTGCAGCCCTGCAAAGCCACCTACACCATTCATACTTGGAGCTGCTCTCATCGCAAGCTTTGCACCCAACCCTGACCCTGTAGGGTCATAACCCTGGGTGGCACCATTCTTTAACGACCCTTGCCCTAGACAGAATGTAGCATTAGGCCTTGGAGAAGACAAACTCCGATCCAAACTCCAGTCTATGTTCGTGTAGTCTAACTGTGCCATTGAGCTTGCAGTGGTCCAATCCACCGGTGAGGAGGCCCCCGACGAAACAGTCGAACCGAAGCCAGAGAAGAGGCCAAGGTTAGAAGCAGCAGCAAGGGTTGACGCTGACCCTGGTCTGTTACTCCATAACCCATTCCCTCCTCTGCTTGTCTCTAGGGGACTGCTTCCAGGAATAAAATGTTGCTGCTGCTGCTGCTGCTGCTGATACGGAAGATGATGGTTGTGGAACATCTGACTAGAAGAAGTTAGGTGGTTTGGGCTTAGGCTGCTTGGAATCTGGGGAACAAATCCGTTGCCGGGCTTCATCATATCAACGCCGTTTGGAGGGTACCAACTGAGGCCAGCAGACCCAGGTGGAGGCGATGAGCTCATGCTTGTAACTGCTGGAAGTTGTTTTGTATTTACAGTAGTTTGGGGTCGCTGCATCATGATTACAGGTTCTCTAACAGTAGTTCCACCAGGGAGAAAGTTCTTGTTATTATATTCACTCCCAACAGATGATAATGATGCATACCTGCTGGTATCTGCCTTGGGTGGTTGTGGTGAAACTTGCAAAGGAGCCGACAGAGAGTAAGAAACAGATGGAATATTATTAGATGTTGGCACACCAGTCCACCTTTTCTCAGATACCACCACACCAGAGACCAACTTTGTCGGTTGTATTCTGTTCAAAGGCTGCTGTAAGTTCTTCACCATCCCAGGTTCAGGAGATCCTCCTCCTGCCAAGGCAGGAGGAACAGCAGCTTTCATGTAGTTGAAGTCTCTATTATCATCTCGTCTCTGTTGTATAGCCACAGAAGGTTGACTATGATTTGGTCTTACTTGAGGTCTCATAACATTCTGATGACTGACAGATACTGGAACCCCCTTCCCACCGTTAACCATTGTTGGGGGATCACCAGTTTCTTCAGGCTTTGGAGGTGCAGGAGGAGGATCAAGCTTCATCCTCCTCAAACTCTCTGCAGCTTTATCAAGGTCACCTTCAGAACCAACTACTGCCCTTTCAACCTCTTGCTTTGTGCACTTGTATCTCACTTCTAAATCAGCAATCCGAGCAAGCTCATCCGATATATCAATTTTCAGATTCCCACCGCCACCGAGATTCTGATCTCTGTGTTTATCATCTGTATCTTCACCACTTTCAAACAGCCACGACACAGATTCCTCTACTTTACCTTCATTAAGTATTAGAGCCATGGTAGCTCTTTCGTGTGAGAATCCCATGGCAACGAGCTGCTGAGCAAGTGCTTCGAGCTTCCTTGACATCAGATAGCCGCTGCACCGCTCATGCAATTCCTGTGCTCGCCTTTCCTTCTGGCGCTGATGCTTCCTCTCATTCTTCTGACGGATTTTCTCTCTCTTGTCATTGTCAGCAACACCCGGAATTGTTGCTTCCTGGCGTGCTGGAGTGTTGGAGGTCTTCTCCTTGTGGTGATCTTCTGAATCACCAGACCAGCTTCCATTGTTTGAGACAGAATCATATTCCACACCACCAGCTCCACCAAACTGATCATCTGTCTCATCTATGTTGCGGAATCTGCCATTGTTGTGTATGGGAGAGGCGGCAGATGTTGGCACTGTTTCAAGTGTATGGAATGTTCCAGACAGTGGATTGTATGCACTGGCTGGGATGCTACTACTGCTACCTCCATTAACAGTGCCTGATGGAGGCTTTGATAATGCCTTCTGTGGTTCTTTGCCAGACTTCTTGTCCTTGTTCTTGGCTCTTGATGCCGGAGACATCACTACCTCGAAGTAGAGACTGGCTCCTGTAAGTTTTTAAGACAACAAGACAACATTTTCTGGTCAGACTCACACTAGGAAGTATGCTCATTATTTGAGTAACAAACAAAAGGACGAATCTTAATATAGACAGAGTCCATAATGGCAGTAACTTGAGAAAAGGTGCAAAACAACAGTTTGTTGTCTGCACGTATAAGTTGGAACAAAATCATAGACAAGCAGCTGTGGTAGGACAATAGCTAACGCACAATTATTCCCCCACAGAGAATGGGATTCTTTATAGAGTTCAAAACCGGTCAGACAACTATCTTTCTTCCTATATCCATGTGGGCAAGTTCATTCCGTTATGGTTTTGTCACTCTTATACTTGTAGCGGATGTAGCCCACACAAGAAGGAATTGCAGGCCCCACACTCTTGCATTTACCCTATTTCCGACGTCTCAAAGAAATCCAACAAAAATAACGTTGCATCTTTTCATGCGAGTATCAAAACAAAACAAATCTCTACATTAATGCAAACATTGAGGTAACAAACAAGATGGCGACGATCCAAATTTCAAATCAAGCTGTCACAATCACCATCGAGACAGTTTTAAAAGCCAAACTACCACATTAAAAAGCTATGCAAGATATAACGCTTCCCTTCAATGTTCCTCATAATGAAAGAGTACATTACCCATGGAACATGATGATACAAGCCATAGAAACAACTGTCAGCTGTCTTCAATCAGTTTTCTTAATTTCTGTGTCAAAAGATATAGCCAGCAAGTATCTATTCGGACCAATGTGGGAATTTCATCGAAAGCTAGAAGAACCACAAAAGATAACAATCCCAACACAGCCATTAATAAGACCACATCTTATGCAAGTAACAGGAGGATTGCTACTCAAACATCTTCCGCAATTAAGGTAACAATTCCAAGCTTTGACCAGATGCTCCCTCCTCATAGAATAAACCCTCATAAGATAGATCGCATGAAAGCAAGCATCATATCATATCGTATCCAAGAGGTGCACTTCTCCATTTCGGCTTGAATATATCCACCACAAAGCCATTGCTGATCAACCCTATTAGACCAAAAGTATTCTACAAACCCACAGAATATCTCAAGAATAAACAACTCCAAGGGATTGCATAGTGGTGATGGGGCGATCAAAACATCGAACCCACTCCAAACTTGGGGCCAACATCACCAATGAGAATGAAGAAAGTGCTACATTTTGCATTCCAACTAAGAAATGAAGCACAACAGCTAGGGGTTGCAAAGAACAATAATTAACCGCGCAACCAGGCCAGCAAACTCAAGTCCAAACGTTTACAAACTCTGTTTCACTTCCACATAGTACAGTGTAGACTACTACTATTCAGACTCATCCGCCCTTATCAGAACTCATCAGAAGTTATTGCCGGAATAGTGAAAATCAAGATTCTCCATCCACCCCCTACGAACAGCCAAGAGAGTCCATAATCCAGTTTGACAGCTGATCCCGTAGCACAAGACGTGGGGATTGATTACAACAAAATTGAAGACAGAAAAAGATCAAAGCCAAAGCACCGGCGGGGGATGGGATTTTCCATCACAATTGATCAGTAATTGGGCGGAATTAGGGATTAACAAAATAGAATCACGCCACTCTCAACATCAGAGACGATTGACAACCAAGGAGATCCCTACTAAAACTACACGCCACGGATTCATCCCCCAACTCCGAGTCCCGGGCCGACTGAAACAATAGAATTACAATTGTGCCAGCTCGTCGAGGAATTCGCCCAGAATGAGTACGGAATTCAAAAGCACGGTAGAAAGATACAGGAGAGAGAAGGGAGGGATGCCAACCTGGAAGAAAGATTGGAGGGGAGAGAGGACGATACGGAGTGATCGATGTTGCAACCACGGCGGCGGCGGCGGCGAAAGCGATCGGAGAAGGGCAATCGAAGCGCGCGAGAGATGGCAGGTGAGAGCAGACGGATTGATTTTGGACAAAAAGAGGTTAGCAGGGAGGGAAAATGGGGAAGAAGAGAGACGAAAGACGGGATAGGTGTTTCGAGGCCCAGACTGAATCGACGGGATTAGGGTTTTGAAAGAAAGGGGCAGAAAAAGAGAGCAGACAGAAGAACTATTTTATTTAACAGAAACCAATAATAATGTCAATTTCATAATGGCTTTATATTTTTATACATTTATTTTTGTTTCTTTTACGGAATCAACAAAGTCCAAACAAACAAAATAAACTTTTTCATTATTATAAAATAATAATAAAATCCGCGCCGATCTAAAGCAGGTTGGCTTTGTCTCAGAAAAGATAAGGTCCTCCCACCTACTATTGAGAAGACGTCCTACCAGTGGAAAATATGATATTTGTGTAATGATAATATAGTATACGATCTACATGAATACATATTCGTCAAACAAGAAAAAAGTTTTCTTATAATAGATAGTAGTATGAAATCAAGCTTTCAAGAATATGAT